GCATTTTCTCGATTTGCGTATTGTGCCTCGTTTAATGTGTCAAATCTATCGAATATCTAAATTAGACAAATTAAAAGTGGATTTAGGATATTATCGATGTTCCGGTCACAACGACGTAGTCCGTTTTGAGATCTAACGTCATTTGAGCGACATCGAGGCCTAAATCCCTCAAAATGCTTGTTATCGCTTTGGAACTCCCAGCAGAATTCAGTGTCCAGATCGCAACGATGCCATCCGTTTGGCATTCAAGGTGCGTATCACTTTATTTACCACTTTGGGTCCTTTCTCGCACGGTATGAGGTATAGGGGTCAACAAATATTAATAGTGGAGGATGAGAATAAGTATATGAAGTCTTTGCCTTAAGCCATCTTGAAATATTTCCTTATCCCTACCCGAGAGTTTATGGCGCAGAAGGCTGGAAGGGGAAATTGTTTGGCTGATGCTATAGGTGGCTATAGAAGAGGAATTCAACAACCTTTAAGGTAAGTACATATAACAACTAGGTTGTTATAGATTGTTTGTAAAAACCCGAAATTCGTCATTTGAGTGCGTCGCACCATACAATTATACTTTATGTTTTAAAAGTTGTAGAAGTTATGGTTTATTTGCCTGTCCGATCTCGTTCCCGCCTCGTCCATACGAGCTAACCGGGCCGGATCGTGACATTGTTAGTTGTTGGAATTCAATAAATGAGTGCTGAAAATAAGACTTGCTACATTTAAATTGCAAAAATCACTATCTAAGAAATATTTGTTAGCAGAAAATATAAGGAAAATGAGGTAAATCTGAAGAACTTGATGTTTCATTGAAGTATACTAAGTGAGGGTATTACTGTTGCTAACGTTAAGTAGGGATGTTGATGTCTTTTTGCTGAAAACAATAGAGAAATGATGCCTTTAATTGAAAAAAGTATAAAACAGAGGTAAGAACATTTTAGCAAATAGTTATGTGCTCCTATAGTTAATTGTGGAATGTTGTACAAATGCTTAAATTAGATTATTGAATTCAGGAGGGGAAAATTTGAAAAGAGAGTAAGGGAATTTTGAATTGAATGAAGAAGAGCGTGATAGGGGTGGTATACAAAAGAAGAAAGAGTCGGGATACTGAGGTGAGATAACCAACTGATTCATAAGAATTAGTTTAAATTTCATATATTTGTAAGTTGATATTTGGCCTATTTAGGATAGCTTGCCTCTCATGTGAAAACATGCATTTCCATCTATTTCAATTTATTTGTTTGTAGTTGATTCCGATTACATAAAATGTTGATTCACTTGAAACTAGTGATTGTGATTTAAAAAAAAAAAAAGAGAATGATATTACAAAAGCAAATGATTAATTCATATATGAGGGATAGGCCAGTACAACTGTACAAGTAAAGGTGAAAGGCCTAATGAGGTAAGCCTACGCTCTCAATTCTAAAAGTTGAGAATTTGAACCCAACCTTGAATGAGAGAGCATCTTTAATTCTAAAAGTTGGAATTTGGACCCAACCATGAATTGAAAAGCTAAAATGGTACAAAAGCCTATAGTCATCATGACTTAATTAAAAAGAATGTTAAACAATTAGCAAGATAAAAAGTACTGCTATATTTTCTTGTGATCCATATGGAAGATGCTCTAATCATGTTATTTTTGTCATTAATGTTATGACTTTCTCAATGGTTAAAATATTATTATTAATTCTTAAAATTACTTGTGTATTTCATTGGGCATAGCTCATTAGCAGTGGTTATACTGCAGTTAAGGGAAAGGAGCCCGAAGGGCACTAGGCGGGAAAGAGGTGACCGTTCCTTTTTAGTGTAAATATGTTTTGGTGTACAAAGAGATCTTAAAGAAGATCTGAAGGATAGCTATATAAACTTTTAATATGTAAGTAAATTTTAAAGGTTTTAGTAGAGCTCTGTATTTGTTTCAATTATATTTGATGTTCAGTAAAGTACATTACATGCTTTTCATTATTAAGCTTGTAGTTGATAGGTTGACATGCTATGAGAGTCTAAATAGATTTGTTTTTACTCACTTTATTCTGAAAAGTAGAGGCTCGAAATGAGTGTTATTAAGGAGTCGGTTTAGATTTTCCTTCTCTGGTATACTGTAGATTGACTGTTATGAGGGATAAGCAAAACTGTAGTGTGATAGAGACAAGCACAGGACACGGTGGGGGAGGCGAGTTGCATGTCATGCACGACGCGGTGCAAGGGAAGGCCAATTGCGGGTCGCGTACATTTGGTGTCGAGCCTACAAGAGCGGAGGGTGGGAGCATGCTAGACAGGCTAGGCGACCTGCGCGTCATGCTCGATGCAGTGCCAGGCAAGGTGAGCTGCTTGTCGTGTGCAACGCGGTGCGACGGGTCTACTAGCGCAGACGGTACGAGCGAGAATTGTAATCGGGTCATTTTTGGGTTGGCGGGTTGCCCGGACATGACCCAATTTTTTAAAAGGGTCATTTATTAGAACCTGAACCCAACTCATTTGTTAAACGGGTAGACCCGAAACTGGATTTGATGGGTCAGGTACAAGGTTGAGTTTTCGAGTCGTGTCAAATATTGACACCCCTAATTTTGAGGTTCTCCAACTAACTCTGCAATGTGTGTTCAACCTTTCCTACAAGTCACAAAGTGGTAAGGGGTACTTGCGACTTTTATCCAACAAGAGAATGTAGAGATGTGCTGTGATATAGGGATTGGAGAGAAAATTAGAGAAAAGGTGCAAGCTTGAGACAAAGAGAGATCTTGAGCACACATCTTGGAGATTTAATAAGACTAAAATTCATTTGATCTTCTCTTTAACTCTCTTTAGAAATATTCGTAAAAAATTTGTTGAAACATTATCCATTCTCCTTCTTGTTATCTTTCTAAGGGAAAGAATTGATATAAGTTTTGGTACTCTTATTTTGTACTCATTTGTATGTTTTGATGGTGGATTTTTGCACCTTTTTGACCCACATGGACATAGGTCATTTTGGACTCAATCATGATAATTTGGCATTCTTGCTAGATTTTATACTTGTCGATCCTATTACTCTCTATGGTACATCTTAAAGAGAGTGATTCAAGCTTTCTCTTCTAAAAAGTTGGTTGAAGTTCAAAATTGTACCTAGGAGAAGGAGCCATCCAATGGATTGAAGTCCTCCACCATCATTACTAGATATGAGTTTGAAAAGTTTAATGAGAATAATGACCCGTAGCATTTGATAAGCTTTCTACATGACTAGATTACTCATCAATCACCTCTATTTGAACCATTAGCTATTTGAAGATACACTGCTGCAGAAGCATTTCGATGGTTATAACAAGCTTCATTTGGATTTAATAAATTTTGATGTGACGAATAAAGAGGAAGATAAAGCTTTAGTCTTGTTGTTTTAGGCACCACCTTTTTATCAACAGATTATTATCACATACGTAAAAGGAAAATATGTATTTCTATGGCAAAGAAGAATTCTGCTCATCTATCTAATGGGTTAAGGATGGAGGGAGCCCAGTTAAGGGCTTATTTGTGAGGACAAGTAAAAATTTGGAGAAAGAAAATAAAAAAGAAAGGGGAAGATCAAACAAAGTCTAAGAAGAAAAAAGTAAGATTATTATAGCACATCAAACATTAGAAATTTGAATGTAGGTTAATGTAAAGAATGTTTGAGGAAAAAAGTGAGTTGAATGGCAATTTTAGATCTAAAGTAGCATTGGTATCAAAGAAGCAAATGGCCAAGAAGAATTCTACTCATCTATCTAATGGGTTAAGGATCGAGGGAGCCCAGTTCAGGGCTTATTTGTGAGGACAAGTAAAAATTTGGAGAAAGAAAATAAAAAAGAAAGGGGAAGATCAAACAAAGTCTAAGAAGAAAAAAATTAACATTATTATAGCACATCGGATATTAGAAATTTGAATGCAGGTTAATGTAAAGAATGTTTGACGAAAAAAGTGAGTTGAATGGAAATTTTAGATCTAAAGTAGCATTGGTAACAAAGAAGCAAAAAAAAAAAAGAGCCTGATGTAATTCTCACAACTGCATATTGTTGCACTTCTTCCGCAAAAGATTGGATTCTCAATAGTGGACCTTCTCGAACAATACCTTGAATAGGTATTGATGGTCGAAGTTACGGTCTGTCAATGGAGAAAATGTTCTTGTGGGTAATGAAATGACTGTAAGATTATTGGGATAGAAAAAATTTTATCAAGATAAATGTTGGATCTATGGGGACTTTTAGTAAATTCAGATATGCGGCAGCTAAAAAGAACTTAATTTAATTGGGCTGCTTGTACCCTACTGATTGCATAATTGGAAGTGAAGTAACCATAGTTTTGAAAAAAGCTAAAAGGCTTGGGAAGTGACAATCTTTAGTTCCTTTAGGGCAACACAAAGATGGAATTGGCATCAATTTCTTACTAAGAATATTTGAATGGATTATGGCACATGAGGCATCAGCAATATATCAGAGCTTGGTCAATCAAAGTTGAGCAAAAGGCTTGCTTTGAGATCAAATGACCGGAACCTTGGATTCTATGAGAAGCGTAATTATAACCATATATGTAATACTTTGCAAGACTTTTTCCTTCGCTCAGAGGATAAATCTGGACTAATTCATAACAATGCATATTCAATTGATACGTACCATTAACTTGACTGCATATGCTTTGGATGCTCATCATTAATACAATGTCAAATTACTTCCACTTTCTAAGGTCATTTTTGCAGTTTAACTTAACAAATAAGCAAAGATATCAAAACATATGATCTTTCAACTTATGCCTCACAAAATTGGTTCTCTGTAAATTGAAATGACTCTAATACCGATAAAGCTGACCAATAATCAATTTTAAGCCTTGTTTTGACAGCCACAGGCTCATTGGTTGATGCAAGTTTGCCGATTTATGAAAAAAATACTCAAATAATAGACATACAAGTAGGCTTACACATCCTAATAACTGAGCAAAATCATCCAATGCAAGTAGCGGACCACATTATCTTAATGCGTGGAAACATTATGAACACATACTTGATCAACAGTACCAGGTGCAATTAGAACAAGCGCCGCACCTGCTGCATCCATTAAATCCTAAGAACAAGCATAAAATCAACAAAGCAATTAAATCAGACCTTATATCAAACATACCATACAAGTAAAAAATGCTAACTCACGTCATCAAAAACATGGAAAGATTTCCATTTTTCTTGGAAAAACTAGTGGAAAATACTTTATGTAAGACGCTCAACAGACCTTACGAGGTTGTTTGCTATCCTATTTTAGGCATCAACAATAACAGCAACAATAACAAGCCTTTTTCCTATTATGTGGGGCCGGCTACAAGAATCCTTTTTTCTCCATTGCGTCCTATTAAGAGTCAAATTCTCATTTAAATCTAATAAAGAAATGTCATTTCTAATATTATCTAACCAAGTATTTTTTTGGTTTACCTATACCGTTCATAACATAAGTCAAATCCAATACGTCTACTTTCCTAACCAGATCATCCGAAGGCCACCGTTTTACGTGACCAAACCATCTAAGGCGACTCTCTCTAATCTTATCTTCGACAGTAGCTACTCTAACCTTTTCATGGATATGCTCAATTTGTATCCTATCTGTAAGAGTAACACTACTTATCCACTTAGAGCATCCTCATCTCTGCAACACTTAACTTAATATTATGCTTCTCTTTTATTGGCCAACATTCATTTAAGCAAAATTTAGGTTAAATCCTGCCGAGAATGATTTTGGGAGTTCAAATCCTATTATTTAGATAAATCTTATTTCAACTCCGTTATTGCTTAATTCAGAATTTTTTATTACAAACCAATTACAGAATTTAGAATTTAAAGACCAGGATTTACAATTTACAGGAATTGTCATTCTACTAGTAGCCCAAAAACCACTTAGATTCAAGTCACATCACTTATATCACCGACTTCTGAATTTTAAATTGTAAGTCAACTTCAGATATTAATAGAATATATGTCAGATAGGTCCCTGCAAGATGTCAATGCACGTAGATGCAAAATGCTAGAGTGATATAAAGTTATAAACTTATGGAGAAATGAAATTCTCCTTGAACAAATTTATGAGTCCCATAAGTTCAAGGGGAGAGGTGCATCTGACAATTCTAATGGCAAAGATCTAGTAATATAAGTTCATTCAATTTTAAAGGGATTAAGATATTCTTGTTATTATTTTATAAAAGGATAAATACTGTTGATTTGAAGAGCCAAAGGAAGTGAAAGCAGTCAAAATTCACTAACTGCTGGCCCTTCCCAACAGGAAAAGAAAGAGAAGGTTAGGCAAGAAAGAGGGTGATAGTGAGTCCACAGCGGATTTGGAGAAGGGAAAGAGCAGCAATCACACCATTGTAGCCCAGAAGAAAGAGGAACTCTTGGCACCAGCCAACATCCTTAGAAGGAGAAGAGGCTTAGAGAGGAACAATTCAATTACTTCAATGATTATTCATACATATACCTAATACATGAATTAAGTCTTTTATATAGAAGAGGCCTCACAGTATAAATGATGACAACACCCATAAACAAAGAGTAAAAACTCAAAATAGTTCCCTAAGTATTAGTAAATGCCCAATTTAATCCCAGACTTTTATAACGCCCCAAGTTAGCCATCCGATTATTGGAAAATGTCTCAATTTGATCTCAAAACCAAAAGTTAAAGTTAACTGCAATAGTTAAATATGAGGGTATTTTGACTATTAGGGTATATATGAGATTCTATTATTATTTTTATATATTTTATGATTTATCATATTAAGATAAATAAAAAATCATAATTGAAGTTGACCCATTTATTAATTATTTAATCTTGTTATTTAGTTGGTTAACTTTCATTATGATTTTTATATTTACTTTAATATGATAAATAATAAAAAAAATATTTTAAAAATAATATAATTTCACATACACCATAATATCCAAAATACCCTCACATTTAACTATTGAGGTTAATTTAAACTATTACTTTTGTCCTTAAGACCAAATTAAAATTTTTTCTAATAGTCAGGAGACTAAATTAAGTCATCATGAAAGTTTAGGAATAATTTGAATATTTACTAATAGTAGTGGGACTATTTTAGACTTTTACTCCATAAACAAATAACTAAAAGACCCTAAAACCCTACTACATGAAATAAAGCAAATGATAACAACATGGCATAACTTCTAACTATGTTCCTCATAGATTCGATCTTGAACCGATGGAGTCTTAATGATCTAGCTTCAATCCTCCTAGGTCAAAAAGAGCTGTTAACAAAACAACTGAAGGCAACAATAATGCTTGTGGAGGACGAAGACTGACTCATTGTTCATGTCATAAAATGCATTAAGAAGATCAACAAGCATAAGGAGTTTTGGAGGCTTTGATGATGGTCTCATCTGCAGCATAGTATTGTAAAATAAAGTCAAAGCTCTTTCTCTGCAATCACTTTCTTATTTAGGTTCTACAATCCCGCAAAAAGAATCAATTTATTTATTCTAAGTTATTCTGCTAACTATACAAACAAGGAAATGAGTCTCCCAAATGAACCTCAAAAGGAGTAGTAAATTTTGATCCCCTTAAAAAGTGAAGCAGTATTAGCAAGGAGAAATTTTAAAAACAGCATTTATTTAAAGTTAAATTATATAAAATGGTAGTTAAACAATTTTATTTTTAGCAAATTAGATCAAGTCGCCACATCACTAGTGATTTGTGTGCCACATAGGCAAGTCACCCACCACATGGTGACTTACCTGATGCTTTTTCTGCTACAAAAAAAAAAAAATTATAACTATATGTTTTTTTGCTGCTATTGTAAAAGCATTTTAATCATTTTTAGTTTATATTTTGAAATCTAAAAATATTTTATAATACTAAATAGATAAATTTATTTTTAAAGTCATCATCTTTTGAAACCATACTAATTGAATTAATTGCAACCAGCTAAATCATAAAGACTAATAACAAGACTTTAAGCTCTCGCTCTTCTCAATTAGAATTATGATGGTTCTATTTCAAAAACACAACTTACCTAATTTTATCAAAAGAAATTTATTTGTATACTTTTCTGTTGTTGTATTTTTTTTTTTTGAAAATATTTAAGCAATAAATTTATCATATCAATGTATGTAATTTTTTTCTAATAATTTTTAATAAGAAATCTTATATTTAAAGGTTTTGACAAATCTTTGCATTAAGAAACATATAAATGAGAAAGGATATGGGCTTGTGTTTTGAGAAAATTATTTCTTCAAAATAAAAATAAGAATAGGATACTTTATGATTAACGCCCAGCATTTTAAAACAAAAACAACTAAATGAATAAAATTTAGAAATATTGTACATATCTCGAAATAAAATTCATTCTAATTATTAAATTTAATTACTTTTATTGATGTTAAATTTGGATAACCGTCAATGAGTAAATTCAATTAATGTTCTAACTCGTCTTGTCTAAGTAGTTAATTAAATTAATATGGTGTCAGAAGATGAGCCTAAACATAAAACATCAAAAATAAGTTTATCAATATAGTTTTGTAAAATATTTTTTAGATTTTAAAATATAAACCAAAAGACATTAAAAATCTTTTAGAACGGAAACAAAAAAATACAAATAGTTACAAAATTTATTCCGCATTACTTACTATAGTTTATCGGGCAAACCGTCACGTGGCAAGCAAGTCACCACGTGGACAGCGACTTGCCTATTTGGTATACAAATCACCAGCCAAATGGCAACTTGGTCTGATTTATTAAAAAAAATAACTTTCATTTTATATAATTTAATATAAATAAATGTTATTTTTAAAATCAATACTCATTGAGCACATTGCACTCTGACTAGTGAATAACAAAAGGGGTCTCTTTAGTTTTGTGTTATTAGACATTAGAATTATTAGATGTTCGTGTTCTTTGTCGAATAGTATGTATTTGATCCAATATTATTGTATTTAAAATGTCATTACTTCCAGAATGTAACACTGATGTTGTCAGATCCCAAGTCCTGAATGAGAAAAATGTTAGGTTGCATTGTGTAGTTGACATCCAACATAAAACTTTCTGAATAATCATGATATAAATCCTTTAATACATTGTGTAAATATTAGGGCATTCCCTGTAAGCGACGTGCTATTTGGTCTGAATACAATATACACGGGTCGTTGCACTGACGCCCGGGTGTAGTGTTAAATAGGCAAGGGTTCTCACATCATGGACGAATTTAGGCAAAGAAGCCAGTCCATTAAACTAAAATTTGGTTTGGAACTTTAAATATAGGTTCTCTTACAAGAAAATTAATGAAATTAATATATATTATGATTTATAGGAAAATGAATATTCTATGCATTCATGAAACTAAATAAGTTTGAGAAAAAGCTAAGAAGATTGATAGTTTAGGATTTAAACTATAATTTTTTTGTATGAATTGTACTAGATATATGTATGTGTGATTATAGATAAGAGTTTAAAGGATAAGGATGTAAAAATTAATAGAATTAAAGATAAAATTATAGTTTTAAAGATTGTTGTTAATACTAAGATTATTAATATTATAAGTGCTTATGCTTCTTAAGTAAATTTGGATATATATTCAAAATTAAAATTTTGAAATGACTTAGAAAAACTAATACAAAAGATACCTTTTGAAGAAAGAGTTTTTATTGTAGGAGATTTAAATGGACATGTTGAAAGAGAGAGGATTTTAAAAACATTCATGGTGGCTATGGGTATGGAGTAACTAATGAAGGTCGTAAGATCATATTAGATTTCTCTTTAGCATATGAATTTGTAATTGGAAGCTAATATTATGTAGAAAAAATTAACTAGTGATATTAAAAATGTTGCAGAAGATGTGCTTAGAGTATCAACAGAAAAACTTCTAATAGTAAAAATAGTTGGTGGTAGAATTAAAATGTGCAAGAAAATATAAAAAATAGAAATATTTGTTATAAAAATTAGTTTGTGTAAAAATTTTGATAATAGGAAAAAATATAAAGAGACCCGTAAGAAGTCTAAGAAAGCAATATGCGAGACAAATATTTTAACTTTTAATAATTTATATAATATATTAGATACTATATATATAT